AGTAAACGATGTCATCTTTAGCTCCTACAGTTCTAGTAGGCACATATCTCAACAAAACGTAGTAAGTAAACGATGTCATCTTTAGCTCCTACAGTTCTAGTAGGCACATATCTCAACAAAACATAGTAAGTGAACGATGTCATCTTTAGCTCCTACAGTTCTAGTAGACACATATCTCAACAAAACGTAGTAAGTAAACGATGTCCTCTTTAGCTCCTACAGTTCTAGTAGGCACATATCTCAACAAAACGTAGTAAGTAAACGATGTCATCTTTAGCTCCTACAGTTCTAGTAGGCACATATCTCAACAAAACATAGTAAGTGAACGATGTCATCTTTAGCTCCTACAGTTCTAGTAGACACATATCTCAACAAAACATAGTAAGTAAATGATGGCATCTTTAGCTCCTACAGTTCTAGTAGGCACATATCTCAACAAAACATAGTAAGTGAACGATGTCATCTTTAGCTCCTACAGTTCTAGTAGGCACATATCTCAACAAAACGTAGTAAGTAAACGATGTCATATTTCTTTGATTATTTTATGACAACAACTCCAGTAAAAGAAAAAAAACCTGTTGTTTTGTTGCTTGATTATTTATAAGCACAAGGAAATTTGTTACGATGTTATATAATGCATGTGATAAGATCAGTATGGAATTCTCTTCAAACTATACTTTATTATATTAATTAATGTTTTATTAAGCTTAGAAGATAATATTATTAAACAGAATTATATATAAACTAGCTGTCCATCATTTGACGGTAAATGCTAATTAATTTTTCTTTTAAAAATTAAACCTAAATAAATGTTTCCTGAACATGTTTTCTAAAAATTAATTATATTGTAGTAACAAGATATGCATAAAGAATGTTCGTCCTTTTTCTAGTGTTTCACCAAAACAGCATTTTTGTATAAATTTGGTCATCTTCAGTAAATTTTCATTCATTGAAATTTTGAGTTGTGTTTATTTTTATACTATGTTCAAATGTTCTTCATGATAAAGTCTTACAGATTGAACCGTACTAAAAAACTAGTTGTTGAATAAATATTCCTACAGGGTCAAATGTCTGACCCTTCAGTTTATTAATTGTAATGGCAAAGGCAATGAATTTCAATGGTGAGGGACACATTTTTTAAAAACTCTTAACTAAAGTGAAAAACATCAATGATAGTGTATTGTAGCGCCATCTATTGGTTGAAAAGATATCTGATTTAATGTATAGTTGTCCAAATATTATAAGATCTTATTGTAAATATGATAATAAATGTATAAGTTAATATTATGATAAAAAATTAACATAAAATCCAGACTCGACTCGGATTTGAACACAAGACTTGGACGTAATAGTCGATCACTGTAACCACTATGACACAAAGTCTTTATCATCTAATGTTAACAAATAATTCAAATCTCCAATGTACAGTATCATGTTATTCTGATTTTTCTTATCATTGATGAGTTAATGTTTAAAAAAAGTTATAAAAAATCCTTATTTGACTTGGATTTGAATGTTACTAAGAGTTGAGTGTTACAGTTTGGTTTCTTAGTGTTTCCGGGATCCACGTATGGTTTCCAGCTGGAGAACTGTAATCAGTTGTCATTGAGTGCCATGTTAGATTTATTGTTTGGGAAAACATTTAGATATACCAGTGGTGGTACATATACTAATCCCATAAGTTGTATATAATCGTTACATTAGTAATAATATGCATACATACTGCATCAGTAAAGTATTTGTCATTATAAACCACAGGAAACCTTAAGTAAAGATCTAGATTGGGGCCATTATAAACCACAGGAAACCTTCAGTAAATACCTAGATTGGGGCCATTATAAACCACAGGAAGCCATCAGTAAATACCTAGATTGGGGCCGTTGTAAACCACAGGTAACCTTCGGTAAAGACCTAGAGTGGGGCCATTATAAACCACAGGAAACCTTCAGTAAATACCTAGATTGGGGCCATTATAAACCACGGGAAACCTTCAGTAAATACCTAGATTGGGGCTATTGTAAATGACAGGTAACCTTCAGTAAAGACCTAGAGTGGGGCCATTGTAAACCACAGGTAACCTTCAGTAAATACCTAGATTAAGGCTGTTATAAACCACGGGTAACCTTCAGTAAAGACCTAGATTGGGGCCATTATAAACCACAGGTAACCTTAAGTAAAGATCTAGATTGGGACCATTATAAACCACAGGAAACCTTCAGTAAATATCTAGATTTGGGCCATTATAAACCACAGGAAACCTTCAGTAAATATCTAGATTGGGACCATTATAAACCACAGGAAACCTTCGGTAAATATCTAGATTGGGACCATTATAAACCACAGGAAACCTTCAGTAAATACCTAGATTGGGCCATTATAAACCACAGGTAACCTTCAGTAAATACCTAGATTGGGGCCATTATAAACCACAGGTAACCTTCAGTAAATACCTAGATTGGGGCCATTATAATCCACAGGTAACCTTCAGTAAATACCTAGATTGGGGCCATTATAAACCACAGGTAACCTTCAGTAAATACCTAGATTCGGGCCATTATAAACCAGGAAAATGAATTTTTCTTATGTTTTGAAAATTTCAAATAATGTAATTACTTTTCTTTCAGGATGAATCATCGTTAACAAGAAAGTTAGAAGAATTATCTTCTCCACTGAAAACTACCCAGCAACAAATTAGGTATATTATTATTATATATGTATATTTACATTTACTGCCATAAGAAACTTTAAGTTATAAAAAAAACATTTTTAAGTCAGTACTTGCAGTTGTTGTCAAGACTTTTGATTGATATGTGTCAGAGAAGTTTATTGAATCAGATGTTAAGTTCGAACAATGCAGCCCAACCAGTGTTCCTTAGTGTTTAATATGCCCGGACTATGAATCTGAGGCTTCATTGTTCACGTCATGCTACTGTAAAAAAACATTTAGCACTGTGGGGCTGTGAAGGCACTATAAGAGTGACACCCATATCTCACCATTTGGTCAAAGAGTATCTTAACAGATAGTGGAGGGTGCTGTTGATTGGTCAGTGTCTGTCAGTTGAAAATTAAGGACAGCTATGTGCAGATAGTTCTTTTTTTTTTAGCTTTACTAACACATTCTACCTAAATTATGCAGTCAAGCTTGTTGTTGGCAGTGTTTTATACAAATTTATCTAAAGTAAGTTAACAATTTGGCATGATTTTATTAACATAATTTGAATTTCACTATACAGTAAGATTGTGAACCATTGAAGGAATGTTTAGTATTAGCCAACTAAATTTTGCCTGTCTTATAATGTTTTAACATAAGATTTGCTGTTTGACTGTCACAGGTTAACAGATTATTTATGTTTTCTTTTAAATGTGTTTCTACAGTCTGGTTCAGAAATTAGGCAATTAGATTCTGTATTTTGGAAGCATTAAACCAAGTCCATTCTTTATTTACTGCACCTTCGGCTATGACAGTGGGTGTGTGTCTTCACCAGCTTAGCTATGATGATAAGGGGGGGGGGGGGGTCTTCACCAGTCTGGTAGTGACCTGTTCTTTATCTGTCGCACCTTCAGCTATGACAGTGGGTGTGGGGATCTTCATCAGTCTGTTCTTCATTTACTGCACATTCAGCTATGATGATAAAGGGGGGGGGGGTCTTCGCCAGTCTGGTACTGTCCTGTTCTTTATCTACAGCACATTTGGTTATTATGGGGGGGTCTCCATCTATCTGGTACCATCCTGATAGTCTGTGTACTGTACATACGAGTGAACTGTGCTACTATCAGGATGGTACCAGATAGATGGAGCACATTTCACTCGTATGTACAGTACACAGACTATCAGGATGGTACCAGATAGATGGAGCAGTCTGTGTACTGTACATACGAGTGAAATGTTGCTCC